TTTTCCCACTATCTCCCACTGTTTTTCTAACAAATTACTTTGGGGGTTGTATCAGAAGAGAAATTGTCACAAAGGACAAATTTCAGAAAGAACAAAAAAGAAAAGGGAACTATATAGAACCATCCCCCTTGAAAACTGTATAGAAAGTCTCTGCAAAAACAAAGGATACATAGAGAGTTACCAGATTCAGTTGGCACTGTGGAAGGAGGGGGTAGGATGGAGTGGGATGGGATACAGAGGCATGAGTGAATGAGACCATATAAATTATAAAAACAAGTAAATGCCTTACATGGACAAATGACAACAATGCCAGGAACTGAAGCATCTGCTTCTGACCTTTAAAACAACCACCACCACCACCACAAACAGCAATGAGATGAGTTGATACAAAACTTTGAAAGTTGAAACGCATTTTTCCTAAAACACAAATTTTGCCTACTCCTTTAGAAAGCTCAGCAACCTATTTTCCTGCCTATTTAGGCATCCCCTATATGTCCGCTCCTTCTTTCATCTCCAGCCAGAGGCATCTGCCTTTTATACCATGCAGCTAACAGCCCCCACCTTCCACTCACATTTCTGGAGCTTCCTAACTCAGAGCTGCTCCTACCACATGTGTCCTCACTCTATAGTTCCTGCCTGTACATCATTACCCATTGTATTTGAGAATTAAATGTAAGAGAGCAATGGAAAAGTGCTCAGAATGCATCTAATTTAAACTTCAACTTGGTTTTTGCAATGTTCTTAAAATAATATATATACTGTTAATTTTTCTCAACAGAGAGGAGACCTTTCTGTGCAAGTTGGACATGTTGATTGGGAAGCAGGAAAGAGAAAGACAGAGATGCCAAGAAAAATGTGCTATTTTAACGTCAAGCAACACAAAAGAAGCATAGGGTTATTTCCAGCCTAAAGTCGGAGGCTACATTTGGAACAGAGCTCTAAGATACCAGATGCTTGACTCAATCTTCTTTTCTCAATTGAGGTGAAATACACATAACATAAAATTAACTATTTTAAAGTGAACAATCCAGTGACGTTGACTACATTCACAATGTTATGTAACTATTACCTCTATCAAATTCCAAAACATTTTCATAACCCAAAAGTAAACCTGTACGCATTAAGCAGTTTCTCCCCACTTTTCTCCTAGTCCCTGGCAAGCATCAAACAACATTCACCTCTATAGATTTATTGACCCTGGATATTTCGTATAAATAGAATAATATAATATATGGCTTTTGTGTCTGGCTTTCTTCACTTAGCATAATGTTTTGGAGACTCATCCATGGTATCACGTGGAGCACTAATTCATTCTGTTTGGGGCTCCATGATGTTTCGTTGAATGTATATACCAAAATTTGTTTATTCATTCACCCATTAAAAGTCAATGTCTTAAAAAAAAAAAAAAAGCCTAGAGATGAAATTTTATCCATTGATAAGACTTAATAATAAGGGTTACTAATACCATAGTTTCTTAAATACAGCTAATCCAGGTGATTTTTCTTCAAAAAATACAAATGTTCTTAATCACATTTGTAAATTTACTTTTTTAGGGACTTTCACGTAGGCATCAAATATGATCTCTTCTACCTTCTTGTCAGCACCTAGTGTTCACTTACCAGTTTTTCTGCTAATTTTCATTGAGCACTAATTGTGCCTCAGGGAAGATTTTCTACATATCTAGGTGGTTTTAATTTCCTCCTGTTTTCTTATTTCTGTTATTTTTGGTATTGAAGAGTAGGCTGGCATTGAGGTGCCAAAGAATAAAAATATCAGCAATAACTGAAATGTTTTTAGGATTCACTCTTAACCTCTTAAAAATGTAGTTTTTCCTTCCCCTTGTGGTTTTAAATTTACAGTCTTGGAACACAATAAGGAGAGGAAAATTGAATTTTTTTTAGCTTTATATATCTGTGGTTTGTTTTATGTTTATTTCAGATCTCAATGTTAAAAATGATCCAGGAATTATTATTAAAAAAAAAAAAAAAACCAACTTTCTGCTGCAGAATCAAGTTGAATTGGGGATAAATCATACTGTGGTTTAGTGGAGAAAACCCAGACTCAAGGAACCACAGCCTTGGCTTCATGTTCTAGTTCTACTTATTACTTACCCTGCTTCACTTCCAGGGGACACACTTAACCTTCTCATTAAAATAACCAAAATTTAAGAGCTCTCCCGAAAGGATGCTCCTACATTTTAATTGATTAAAAACAAAAACAAATAAAAAAAAACTTTTCACATTTACATAGTATAGAAAAATATTGGTTTCAATAATGAGAAAACTTTTTATAGCACTTTCTGCAACTTAATGAACGAGCATTGCTGCTTTTGAAAGATGGTGAGAAAGACGGCCTTTCTAAAACACATTTGATAATGAAAACATAGTTTTTAAAGAAAAATCTAATAGGACTGCTCTGCAGCAGAAATAAAATTGAGATAGTGTCTAAAATCCTCTAAAAGTCTAAGTTAGACTAATGAATTTCAAAATATATCTTGTCATAAATGAGAATGAAAGCTATAAAATGTGAATGATTATTGTTTAAAAAGGATAAAAAATATGACTCTTTCTTAAATTTTGAATTTGGATTTTGTCTCCTTCCTATTAGTGAAGTGAAAGTTTAACATCTTGCCAACAAAGAACAATATGGCACTATTGGCTGCTATGTAAGAGCAGAAAGCATTCCAGGGGTAGTGAAATAAAAAGAGCTAAGCTAGGAAGACTAAATTACTGAATCTTTCTAGCAACAAACATGACATTCAAAACTAAACAAACTCTCTCCCTTCCCTTCTTTTTGCCTAGAATTAATAGCATACATGTCTATTCATACATACACACGCGTGGCACACGGAAACTAATCTGGTGATGTTACTGAAAGGTGATGATACTGAAATCATCAAAATATTCAGTAGTGTTTAACTGTCCCTGAATTGAAGTTGTAAATTCCCCATCATCTTCCCCATTGATTAATGGAGATCATTATCTCCCAATTTATAGTTTTCATAAATCAATATTTATTCAGTGCCAAGAGGCATGGCATGAGATGCGTGTGCTTTAGAAATGCTGGCTTAACAAGGACAGCAATTCCTGTCCTCTGTAAATTTGCAATTTAGAAGAACACATAAGAGACAGTGAAGATTTGATTAAAATTTTTCAGTGAAGTTTAGCAATAAGAACAAAGAGTTGGTGTTTCTAAAAAATACACTTATATATCCCATCGTTAAATACATCCCAATTACTCTCAGAATTTCTAGGTAGCAGGCTGTTAAATAAAACAAGACCCACCCTTTTAATTTCTAATAAGAGTTAATAAATAAAACCAATTAGAATACAGAAAGTACTCATTATGGAGCAAGAGAATGTATTACCCATTGCATTAATAGATGAAAATAGCACAGACATTTTTACTATATCAACTAGTATTAGAGTTTCAGCAAAACCGTAGCCAAGATTTCAGGTAAATAATTGAACAAATACAAATAAATTAACAAAGAAAGTCCATGTGGTAATTAAGCATAAATGCAAACAAAAGGACCACTAAGAAAGCAAGTTTCTTACATCCTCCTTCATCAGTAAGAGATCCATTATATTCAAAGCTCTTTATGTATCATCTGGCTGGGGAAAACTGATACCAATATATGACCAGAGAGTATCTGGGAGCTGGGCCAATAATAATGCCAGGCTGAGAATGGGGGGTGGGGGAAGACTCCATCTGATGGAAATTTCTTCACCACTGTGCTTACTGATAGAAGAATAGAAGAAAGTCCCATTTTCATCTGAGATGAGAGAGGTCCAACAAAGGCAAAGAAAGTATTATTTTTTGTCACCTTGTATTTTTAAAAGTTTTAAATGTGAATTTAAATATGAATTTAAATAATCTCAAAGCAGCATTTTTTTGCATATAGCAGGTGTTAGGTATTCACAGGTAAGGATAATACGCCTTTCCGGCTAGAGTAAAATGGAGCGGTAGGGATAATCCATAATAGTAACAGGATGCTCCAGTCCCAATTGTCAAGTCTGGCTTTGTGTCCTGATTAGTGAAGACTTTCAGACACCATGATACCCTGGTTTAGAACAAAGCATTTGCTGTTCCCCAAGGTCAATGGAATCCCTTGTCTTTATATCCCCTTTTTCACCTAAATATTTCTAAGCAGTTCCTGTGCAGGGCAGGACCCTTCCCAGCCATCTGCAGACCTGGTGAATGCTGCTTCTAGGTATTTCCAACATTTTGGAGAAATCAGTAATTCTTGGACACCAAAAGTTACCAGCATTGGTTACTCTTTAACTGGTATTTTTTGAGCACTTACTGTGTGTCAGATATTGTTATAGGCACTGAAGGTACAGCAATAAGCAAAATAGACAAAAATTTATATTTTCATGAAGCACGAATATGGTAGGAATAGGCAAATGATCATCGAACGAATACAGGTGTACCTAGTTTTATTGCACTTTGCAGATATTGCTTTTTTCTTTACAAATTGAAGGTTTAAGACCTCAGTGGAGGAAGTAACTACAGATTTGGTGGAAATAGCAAGAAAACTGGAATCAGAAGTGATCTGAAGATGTAACTGAATTGCTGCAATCTCATGATAAAACTTGAATGGATGAGGAGTTACTTCTTACGGATGAGCAAAGAGAGTGGTTTATTGAGATGAAATCTTCTGGTGAAGATGCTGTGGAGACTGTTATTATGACAACAAAACATTTATTTTTTTATTTTTTTTTAATTTTTTTTTTCCACGTTTATTTATTTTGGGGACAGAGAGAGACAGAGCATGAACGGAGAAGGGGCAGAGAGAGAGGGAGACACAGAATGGGAAGCAGGCTCCAGGCTCTGAGCCATCAGCCCAGAGCCCGACGCGGGGCTCGAACTCATGGACCGCGAGATCGTGACCTGGCTGAAGTCGGACGCTTAACCGACTGCGCCACCCAGGCTCCCCGACAACAAAACATTTAAAATATTATATTAACTTGGTTCATAAAACAACATCAAGGTTTGAGAGGATTGACTCCAATTTTGAAAGAAGTTCTACTCAGGGTGAAACACTATCAAATAGTGTTAATGAAAGGAAAAGTCATTTGATGCTGCAAATTTTGTTGTCTAATGTTAAGAAGTTGCCACAACCACCCTAACCTTCAACAATCACCAACCACCCAGATTAGTCAGCAGCCATCAACACTGAGGTAAGACCTTCTACCAGCAAAAAAGATTATGACTTGCTGAAAGCTCAGATGATGGTTAGCATATTTTACTATGAAAGTATTTTTTTTTATTTTTTTTTCAACGTTTATTTATTTTTGGGACAGAGAGAGACAGAGCATGAACAGGGGAGGGGCAGAGAGAGAGAGGGAGACACAGAATCGGAAACAGGCTCCAGGCTCTGAGCCATCAGCCCAGAGCCCATCAGCCCAGAGCTCGAACTCACGGACTGCGAGATGGTGACCTGGCTGATGTCGGACGCTTAACTGACTGCACCACCCAGGCGCCCCATGAAAGTATTTTTTAAAAATATTTGTTTTTGAGAGAGAGAGTGAGAGCTCAAGCAGGGGAGGGGCAGAGAGAGGGAGAGAGAGAATCCCAAGCGGGGCTCCACACCGTCAGTGCAGAGCATGACCCAGGGCTCGAACTCACGAACCATGAGATCATGACCTGAGCCAAAATCAGGAGTCCGATGTTCAACTGAGCCACCCAGGCACCCCTACTAATAATGTATTTTTTAATTTAGACATATACATTGGTTTTTTTTAAGTAATAATGCTATTACACACCTAATAGACTATATTACAGTGCAAGTATAACTTTTATATGCACTGGGAAACCAAAAAAACTTATTTGACTCCCTTTATTGCAATATTTATTTATTTTATTTCAGTGGCCTGGAACTGAGCCCACAAAATTTCCAAGGTATGCCTGTACCTATATGTGTCAGATGGTAATCAGTTTTGTAACAAAGAGGGCTAAAGTTGGAGAGAAAAATACAGTGGACCTGTGAAGGATGCTATTTTAAAAAGAGTGGTTGAGAAAGTTGCCTAAAGTAACAGTCCTTAGAACACAGGCTAATGGTTGGTGGGGGAGAGAGCCAAGCTGATTTCTGGGGCGGGGTGGGGGGGATATCTTAAAGATATGGGACAAAGGACATAAATAAATTAGTTTTGTTGGCCTCCTGCCAGATAGTGGGGCAGGGGGAGGGTGAGAGGGATGTTATTCTTGCCAGGGATACTCAGACTGCTTCTTGTCAAGAAATTCTAAACTGCAAGAACTGAACAGCTCAGTGGGCATGGCTCTTCCATAGTTCCTTGCTTTTAATCTCATGGGGGCTTCCTAATCCATATTCTCTTCATTGTTCCCATCCATATGTGACTTCCCTACCTTTCTTTCATTTTCTAGCTTTGACCTATTTGTTCATCTCTTTTATGATTCTCTAGCACATAGATTCCCCAAGCCCTTCTTCTCCTGCAGCATCACATTGAGCCTTGTGATCAGAAGTGCAGTCTGCCTCAGTTATTGCAATGCCCTGTTGTATCCACAGCCTCAGTTCCCCCAAGTCCTCCATAGGGCCATCAGTGTTAAATCTAAGAAGCAAGCTGGACAATGTCATTCCTCTTCTTGAAATTCTCCAGTGATCCGCCATTACTCAGGAGACAGCAAGGACTCTGCAGCATGAAATTCAAGTCCACCATGATCTCACTTCACCAATATGCCAGCTCAGATCTTTGAGTCACCCTGCCTGTGACTTCATGCTGTAATTCCAATAATCATCTTAGAGAAACATATTCTTCGTACCACCCCCGTTGCCTCAAGTTCTGCATTGCTTTCCCTTTCCTCCTCTACCCCATTGTGGAAATTTTCCTGACACTCTTCTCTCACACTACATTGAGAACCCCTATACCATTCTCTTAGGATTCTTTATGCTTACATTTAACTTACTCATTTATATTGGCTTTATTATAGGTATATGTCTGCTCCTACCCTGCAAATAAAGAAGCAAACCAAAACAAACAACAAGAATAAAATAATGAGGTTTTAACCCTTAGTCCTTTAGCACTGTTTCTGACACATTTTAAATCAAGCAAATAAATGCAAGAATGCATGAACAAATGAATGAATGATCAGTTTGCCAAGGGGAAAGTATACAACATTATGGATAATAAAAGAGATGAAATGGAAAGAAAAATGTTTGAGTTAGATGCTGATATCATGGAGGAAGTTGATGAAATATCCTGAAGGTGTTTATGAAAATGATCTGGATGATGCAGGCAAGATAGTGTAAGTGATCATCATGGGTTTTAATAAGTAGAGTCTCTTGAGAGATGATAAATAAAGAATAGCCTGCCAGTGACAGCATTCATTTGTTGACTGATTCTTTTTATTTCAAATATTTTGTAGAGCTTCAGCTATGAGTCAAACAGCTTTTTAGGCATTAGGAATAAAATGGCAAGCAAGAAAATGAGCTGGTTTTGCTTTCAAGGAGTTTAACGTCCTTGGAGTGAAACATATATAACATAGACATATTCATTTTGAATTTGAGTAAAAATAACATGGTCCTTTGAAAAAAAACAACCTAAGAATCGGACCTAGTTTAAAGGGTCAGGGAAGACTCAACTGAGAAGTGATAATTGAGCCATGAGCTAAAAGATGCTAGGAGTTAACTGAACTGAGGCTAGATTTAGAGAAGAAAACTCATAAGAGAGGAGAAATATAAATACAGGGGTGTTTGAACACAACAGAAGAGAATAAAAGAAAGTTAGAATATTAGTATGTCATAAGGGGGCAGAGCAAGATACTAACTCAAGAGTAATGGCATTAATAGCTAACTTTTATTGGTTTATCAAGCCCTTATCTTATGTCAGATATTGTGCTAAATGTTTTTACATTGTATTTTTACTTAATGACGACAAAAAACTATGAGGAAGTATAATAACTTTTCCCATTTTTCATATACCACAACTATATGGGATATTAAGAAATTGTGTGTAGTCTCAGTTAGTGAATGACAAAGCCCCAGTGAGAAACTGTAGACCATGTGTTTAGAATCAATACTGCAGGGCACCTGGGTGCCTCAGACAGTTAAGCATCTGACTCTTGACTTTGGCTCAGGTCATGATCTCGTGGTTCGTGAGTCTGAGCCCTGCATCAGGCTCTGCGCTGACAGTGTGGACCTGCTTGGGATTCTCTCTCTCTCGCTCTCTCACTCGTGCATGCACTTTGTCCTCTCTCTCTCAAAAATAAATAATTAAAAATTAAAAAAAAAAAAAAAGAATACTGCAGAGTGAACAGGAAGGGCTGGAATGTCAGGCAATCATGTGCTCTTTTACTTCTGGGGCTCCAAAACCTGAGTTGTTGCTTGAATAAAATTTTATACATTTATATTTGAGAGAAGTTTTCCACTTAATACTTGTGTCCCATCTCCTATATAGGGCAAAACTGGAAGGGTGAAATGTGGGAACTTCTGGCATATCAGTTCATAGCATAGTCTCCACTTTCTTGCCAAAGAGGGATTGCTGGTGGGCCAGAACAAGACATATAGCATTGAATCCATTTTATAATGTTCCTTTGAAAACTCTGGTTTCCATGAATTTCAGTGATATGAACAGAGATACCCCAGCACCTCCTTCTCTAGTCTTTCCCTCACAGCAGGTCTCCCACCCCCAACTGCTTTTCTGAAACAGCTGATTCCTGTCATCTGACACAATAACTCAGGCAGGAGTTTGAGAGGTGAAGAGGGAACAAAAGAGTAGATGCTGGCACTGGCTTCAGCTTTCTTACCTTTGCATGGCCAACTGTGAACAGTGCAGGTGCATAACGATACTGTTTTCATGAACTTACTTTGGACAAAATAAGATCTTGAGATGGCATCAATTTTGTCTTGGAAAAGTAAGATATGGTTACATACGTTGAGTATCCCAACACACAAAAGAAATGGAATACGCTATATTCTCCAGATGGGTAACAAGATTCATTACAGAAATCGTAGCTGGTGTTCATAACAGAATAGGGAGAAAGGAGAGCTTACCTGTGGCTTCAGAAATCGCCAGACGTGATACACCCACTTAAAGTGAAACTGTCCATATGGCAGTTTTTACCGACTTTTACTGAATAGGGATATCCTGACACCCAGCAACGATGTGCTTATCAGATAGAAGTACCATGAAGACTTTGAGGCATTTCTCTTGCTGATCTCACCTTTCCTTACCATCCATTTTCTTTACTGAAATCGCAGTGAAATTAGCATTTTATTTTTGAAGTTTTTTTTTAAGTTTATTTATTTTGAGAGAGAGAGAGAGAAAGAGAGACACGCAGGAGGGGCAGAGGGACAGGAAGAGAGAGAGAAACCCAAGCAAGCTTCACACTGTCAGTGCAGAGCCTGATGTGGGGCTCAAACTCATGAACCTCGAGATCATAACCCAAGCTGAAACCAAGAGTCAGATTCTTAACCAACTGAGCCGCTCAGGTGCCCACCAGCGTTTCACTTTTTTTTTTTTTTTTTTTTTTTTAAGGATATGATCAGTGTTACATAACCTCAGTCATTTGGCAGTAAGGATTAAAAAAACATTGATGGCTTTTAAAGTTTAGATAAAATATTTTAGGTGATTAAAATTATTTCGAATACCATTTTTTAGTTAAAATATTTAAGTACATGGTTTTTCAACTTGGATAAATAAATGGCATCAGATAAAATACAAATCAGAATTAAATAAATAATTACTGTGTAGCATCTTTGGCTTAGGAATGACAAAGGGGAGTGTATATTCTCTTTTTAATCACCAAAGGGAAAGAAAAAAAATGGTGTTATTATGTTTATATGGTATTTCAAGAGCTGCATCTTTCAAGGATTATTCCAAATATAGTATAAGAGAACGAATTTCTCCTTCAGATTCATTGTAAGTCAGTATCACTGCATGGAAAACAGATGCTGTTGGAGGCAGAAAAGCTGCTTTATTGACACATTACTCAGCATTCTACAAAACAAAAGCAAAAAACAAACAAATTATGATGCATACATCTGAAGACCAAAGTTAAACATTTGTCACAGAACAGTGCATTTTTTTATGACTTCTAGATTTCTTTTACTTATGGTTCCAATGTCTTAATTAAAAGTTAAACCAGTTTTGTGTGTATAGTTAGTTACTAAACTTAAAGTAAATGACATATTTTAGCACTTACCACCCACACAAATGGACAGAAATTTAGCTAAACTTTCTCTACTGAGTTTGGTGATAAAATATAAATTGCTACTATGGGTTTAAGGTTGAATACTATCACTTAACATTTATTTCCAGTTCACTAAAGATATACAGAAAACACTTTTTCACACACACATACACACTCACACAAAAACAACTTCAGTTTTCAGGGAGGAGTACTTAGTCAGAAACGGTCAATATCAGAAAGAGAAACAGATGCACTTCTCTGAAAGGAGGTGTCTCTGCTGCTACTTAGTCCCCATTCATCTTTCAAAAAAGGGGAAGCTGTTGCTTTTCTCCTCAAACTTCAATATTTTTAATACTGGCTTTATTCCTGATACTTGATGGTCACGAGATTTTGCAGTCCTCAAAACTCATTTCAGAAAGCCCCTTCGGGAGATATCCTGGCTGGGACTCTGGCCTGAGTATCAAAATATTGTCATAAAATTGATATTTTATTGCTCTTATTCGTATAATTGGAAGCACTCTGATGCTAATCCTGTACCTTATCAGGTAGAGAGTGTTTGAATTTGGCAGAATCATGCCTGCAGCTTTTAATGACAGGCTCAAAATAAGTGTTGGCTTCTACATCACATTTCTGCCCACTTGAGGTTCACTATCAAAGAATCTAGATGCATTTAGAGAAGATTGAGAGAGAATACCAACAATAAGAAATAATCAACCAAATAAATAGTATCTAGGAGTGTTTTTATGTTGTTTTCTTTGAGTGGGATTTGTTATTCCTTTGTGTTTGTGGCATCCAACAAATAGAGCTCTGCTTTATTGGTCCATAAGCAGAAGAATGTATTCATGCTCACACACACCATGCTCCTCTTTATCTTTTTCTGAGCTTCCCTGCTCCAGTGTCCATTTTGAGGGATTGGTGTTGACTTTGGCTATTTTTCTTTGTTCCACTAACTCAGGTGTTCAATTCTTGTGCCAGACACCATTCCCAACAATTGTGTGTTATGAATTTAACACCTAGTATTTAGTATCCTTTGCGAAGAGTAAATGGACAATGAAGAGTGAATGCACAGAGCATTAAACAGTCCACACAGGGAGCCCCAGACAAAATTAGAGTTTACAGTCAGTAGTACCAGTCTTTTTTCTCATTGTAGATTCTCTTCTCCTTTTCTGCTCCTTTTCTTAACCCTCTCCCTTAAACTCCTTAGCCTTATCTTCTGTATACTCAACCTAGTTGTGAAGATTTTCTTATTATGTATCAGAAGATGAGAATAAATGGCGTGTACCATCCTTAGGGGTATCTGTATTGGAAAGTACTCCATGTAAGACCCCTTAAATCATAACATTATAGATCTATCCACTCCATCTCCTCTAAAAGCTGATTTTACTTCACACATAAAAGGATTTGACTACTTGGCCAGTAAATTCAGTTATTGTATACAGACAACCTTATAAAGTGTTCTGGCTGGAATTTATAGGTTGTTTCATTCTGTTGAGCAGTCATAATTTCAAAAGACACTAGATCGCAACTCTCAAGGTTGAATAATCATTGGTGGTGTCCTGATGAGCCAAAATGTCACAATAAGGCTAAATAGCATATGCTTTTGACCCAGCTGTCAGTTGTTATTAATAGGCTGACTTAAAAAATGAAAGCAGTAGGGGTGTCATCGACATTTTGAGGCCCATATGCTTAATGTAGTAAAACACCTGCCAGGGCTAGTTTCTGGTTCCAAATGAAGTAAATCAGCCTGCTTTTCCCCCCACAGTTAAAAATACATCAACACCTACTAAGAATGTTACAATGTGCCATAACCCTCAGGCTACCACCTCTTCCACTCTGAACTGCTTGTGATTCAAGGTACAGAAACTGTTTCAATTCTTCTCACCTTTGGAATGAACTTTCTAATATATATTCTTTTACTGTGTGTGTGTGTGTGTGTGTGTGTGTGTGTGTTAATTAGGCTTCTCTCCTTTTATTATCTTCAAAGTTTACTGAGTTGAAGTGGAAAATCTGTGCACT